AAAACCCCCCCAAAACAAAGCATAAATACAAAACAGAAACAGACTCATAGACATAGAATACAAACTTGTGGTTGCCAAGGGGTCAGGGGGTGGGAGGGGACAGACTGGGATTTCTAAATGTAGAATAGATGAACGGGATTATACTGTATAGCACAGGGAAATACATACAAGATCTTATGGTAGCTCATGGAGAAGAAAATGTGACAATGAATATACATATGTTCATGTATGACTGAAAAATGGTGCTCTACATTGGAATTTGACACAGCATTGTAAAATGATTATAACTCAATAAAAATGTTAAAAAATAAAATAAAAAGCAAAATAAAGTGAGCATCTGTAGCTCAGCATTTAGGTTAAGATGATGAAGGTCACTAGCATCTCAGAAGCTCCTTATGTGCTCCTGTTAAGGGCCTCCCCTTGTGCCCCCACAAGGGGTAACTGTATCCTGACCTTGTGTTAATAATTCCCTTGTTCTTTCATAGCACTTTGCCAATTCATGTGTGAGCTCTTGGTAATAAATGGCTTATTTCTGAAAAACAGACCTGAAGCTCAAACCTAACCAAGCCAGGAGAGAACGGTTGTGCACCTCTTACATGAAGCTCCCCAGGGAAGGAAACCTGAACAAGGTGTCTGAATCATAATCAGGCCCCTCTGTTTCTAGTTTCTTCAGGTGGAAGAAGTTTAGGTATGTTAGTTTTCTACTATGGATGTTTAATGATCTAAGTTTCTCTGTAAAAATTCTATAAATTTCTCTCAAAGTGTTCCTTAGTCTACATTTGACAAATTTTGGTACGTTGTGTCTTCCTTTTCATTTAGTTAAAAATATTTTCTAATTTTTCATGGGACTTTCACATATGGGTTATTAAAAAGTAAGCTGTTTGATTTTCAAATAATTGGGGTATTTTCTAGATCTTTCTATTACTGATTGCTAATTTAATTCATACAGTCAGAGAACAAACATACTTCATGTGACTTCAGTTTATTTTATGGCCCAGAATATGGTCTATCTTGGTGAGTATTTTATGTTCACGTGAAGGGAATGTATTCTGCTGTTGTTGAATGTAATGCTCTGTAAATGTCAGTTAGATCCAATTGATTAACGAGTATATATCATTCAGTTTTTCTATATCTTTGCTGATTTTCTGTCTACTTGTTCTATCAATTACCGAGAGAAAAGAATTACAGTTTATTACAATTTACATCAACGATTTAATCGAGTATAATATCAAGTATAACTGTGGACTTGCCTATGCTTTCCCTTCAGTTCTATCAGATTCTTCCTCTTTTTCTTTCTCTTAGCATTTTGGAGTGCTCTTATTAGGTGCATTAATACATCTTCTGGGTGAGTTGATGCTTTTATCATTATGTACTGTTCCTTCTTATCCCTAGTAATTTTCCTTGTTCTAAAGTCTACTTTGTCTGATGTTAATTTAGCTACTCTGGCTTTCTTTTGATCAGTGGTTACGTGATATATCTCTTCCCACCCTTTTATGTGGCTCTCAGTATAGTTTTTGGTTTGCATTTCTCTTATGGTGGGTGAGGCTGAACATCTTTTTATATATTTAAGGACTATATTTATCTTTGTGTGAATTGCCAAACTCATGTTGTTTGCCTATTTTTTTTCAGGTTTTTCATCTTTTGTTCTTTCAGTTTTTAAGTAGCGTTTTGTATATGAAGAAGATTAGCTCTATAGCTGTGACATCTGCTACAAATATTTCCCCCTAGTTTTCCAGTTGTATTTTAACTTTGTGCTTTGAGTGCCTCATTTCCATGTTAAGGTTTTTGTTTATTTGTTCAGTTACATTTGCCACTCTTTTTTGTTATTGCACCTGACTTTTGAGCCATAGTCAGAAAGTCTTTTTATATGAGCCTAAGGACATACAGTCCAAATACTGTGAAAGTTCAAAGGTTATTTGGGTTAGTACGTTCCTCCCACATATATCCAGGTTAAAGAGGAATTCACTCATGGTTTCCTCTAGTATTTGTATAGTTTCTTAAATCCTGAATTAATTTGGAATTTTTTCTTCTGTATAGGATAAGAAATGGCTCTAATTTTATCTTTTTCCGAATGACTATCTAGCCTTCATACCAGTTACTTAAGAAGCCCATTTTTATTTCTAGTGATTTGAGATATGCATATCATATCCTACAGCTCCATATGTACAAGGGTCTATTTCTTGGCTTGCTATACTATTCTTCTGTGTCTTCATGTGCAATAATATGTTGCTTTAATTCTAGAGGCTTTCAGACTGTATTTTAATATTTGGCAGCGCTAACTTCCATGAAGATTTTTAAATGTGCTCCTGTCTATTCTTGCATGTTTCTTTATATGGAATTTAGCATAAACTTTCAAACTCCATTAAAAAAAACCTTGTTAGTATATTTTTACTGAAGCATAGTTGATTTACAATATTATATAAGTTTCAGATGTACAACATAGTGGTGCACAATTTTTAAAAGTGATGCTCCATTTATAGTAATTATAAATTACTGGACCTAAATGGTACCCTGTGTTGTACAATATATTTTTGTAGCTCGTTTATTTTTTACATAGTAGTTTGTACCTCTTAATCCTCTACCCTATCTTTCCCCTCCTCCTTCCTCTCCCCACTGGTAACCACTAGTCTGTTCTCTGTGTCTGTGAATCTGTTTCTGTTTTGTTATATTCACTAGTTTGTTAGAGTCCATATATAAGTGATACTATACAGTAATTGTCTTTCTCTGTCTGGCTTATTTCACTAGCATAATACCCTCCAAGTCCACTCATGTTGTTATTATTTTAGTTAGTATTTTATTGGTATACTGAAAAATTGCTTTACAAAAAATATCTTCTCTTTATTAATAAAATAACTTGGGAAGAAGTTTATGAAATGGAATCACTTTACTGAAGAACAAGTCATGTCTTTTCATTTGTTCAAGTCAACTTGTGTGTTTTTCAGAAGTTTAAAAAGTTTTCCTCATGTATTTTACGTATTTATTGGTTTAGTTCATTCCTAGGTTATTTCATTTTCTTTGTTGCTATTGTAAATAAGTTTTCCCCTATAATTTTCACCTTTTAATGAGAGCTAGTAATTTCTACATGTTAGTGTGACATCCTGTTACTTTTCTGAATTATTTTGCTTTGGTTTTAAAATTTTTACTTAATTTTTGACACTTTAATTTTTATACAATTTAAAAGGTTACTTTCCATTTATAGTTATTACAAAATATTGGTTATATTCCTCATGTTGTATGATAGATAGATCCTTATTTTGTTTTAGTTTTATCATTGATTATTTAGAATTTTACAGTCACACGATCATATTCTCTGCACATAGAAATGGTTTTGCTTCTTTTCAGTTCTTACCTGTACAGTCTGTCATTGCTTTTTCTTGCCTAATTGCATTGCTTAATACCTCTAGTATGATGTTGAAATTGGTAGAGATAATGGGCACACTTCCTTGTCCTAATCCTAGTAGAAATGCTTCTGGTGTGCTAGCACTCTCCTGTTAGCAAGATGCTGGCTTTAGGACTTTAGGTCTAAGATCTCTCTCTCTCTCTCTGATTAAGAAGATGTCATTTAATTCCTGCTGTCATTTATTTTTACGAGGAATGAATGCTGACTTTTATACAAGGTTTTGTAGCATCTATGAGGGCCATCATAAGATTGTTCTCCTTGGATCTATTAATAGGTTTTATTATATTAATGAATTTCTTAATATTGACCCACCTTGAATTCTTATAATAACTCTCACTTAGCCATGATATATAATTTTCTTAAAGTGATGCTAAATTCTGTTTACCCATATTTTATTTTGAAATTTTGCCTCAATTTTCATATATAATTTTGGTTTATAATTTTACTTCTTCTTGCACCACCTTTAACAAGTTCAGGCACCAATGTTATGTTTGCTTCATAAAAAGAATTAGGAAAATTTTCTTCTTTTTTAGTGCTTTGGGACAATTTAGAGGTTATCTTGTTTTTGAAGGTTTGGTAGAATTTTCATCTGAAACCATCTAGGGCTGGTGCATCTGGGGGCTATAGCTCCTTGATGTCTTTCTTCATGTATTCTATAGATACTAGTCTGAGCCTTCTAAATCTAAAAAGGTCAGTTTTGGTTAACTGCATTTCCCTAGGAGATTATCCATTTCACTTAGTTTTTCAAATTAATTTGCATAGAGGTCTGCAAAATAATCTCACGATTTATTAAATTTTTACTGTTTTAATTATCTCCCCTTTGTCATTCCCTATTTTGTATGTTTGTGCTTTGTCCCTTTTCTTTTTCTTATTTAAGTCAGCTAGTGGCTTGTTTATTTTGCTAATCATTTTTAAAATACAGAAATTTGATTTATTGGTTAGAGCTAATGTTTTTCTACCTACCTCACTAATTTCTGCTTTTATGTTTAATTTTTCCATCCTTGTGCTTTCTTTTAGTTAGTTTTTTTTTTTTTTGTTCTAGTTGAACCAAAAAACTTTTGCTGAAAAAAGTTTTGAGCTGGCAATTTAATTCATTTATGTAAAATTTTTCATTTTTGTTGATAAAAGTGTTTGACTATGAATTTTCCTGATTACTGCTGTGAGTCTCATATTATGATACATTGTGTTTTTATTACCATTATGTCTTAGAAAGTTTAGTTTGTATTTCTCCTTTCATTCAAGAGTCCTTAGTAGAAACTCTTACATTTCCAGGTGGAAGAGCCTTTTTTTTGTTTTTTGTTGTTCGTGATTTCTAGTTTTATTTCACTGCGAACAAAGACTGTTGTTTGTAATATTTCTGCTTTACAGATCTTTCTGATGTTTTCTTCATGACCTGACACATGACCGCTTTTTACAAATAATACTTGTACCTTGGGAGGAAGTTGTATTTTCTACTATTAGGGTGAAAAGTCATGTTACACCTTATTGATTATGTTGTTTAGCTCTTTTATATCTTCATTTGTTTTCGGTTCACTAGCTCTGTCTTATTCTGAGTGGTGTGTTGAAGCCTCCCATTTTTAGTGTGTTTTTACCTATACCTCTTTGCATCTCTTGAGATTACTGCTTCATAAGGGTGGGGTATTTTTGCATTTTATCATTATTTTATGTGTAGGTATTCATAATGGAAATAACTTCATTGTGATTTGTGACTTTTAGCCTTAAAAAAATGTAGACTTTTTCAGTCAGTCAGTATAGTCAGTTACAAAGTGTCAATCTCTGGTGTGCAACACAATGTCCCAGTCATGCATGCACATACTTATATTCATTTTCATATTCTTCTTCATTAAAGGTTATTACAAGATATTAAATACAGTTCCCTGTGCCATACAGAAGAAACTTGTGGTTTTTTAGATCCATTTTTGTATACAGTGGTTAACATTTGAAAATCTCAAGCTCCCAAATGCATCCCTTTCCCTGTAACCATAAGATCGTTCACCATGTGAAAAATGTAGACTTTTTTTTTAAAGCCCTTTTGACTTTCTTCCTGGAATGCTTTTCTACATCCCACCTATTTCATGTGAATAACTCCTGCTTATCTTTCCCAATGATGTTTATAGATCATACCTTTCCCTGACGTCCCACAATTTAAGTTGTCTCTCTACTATACTTTCTCATGATGAATCTATAAATTCCTCAAATCATTCTGTGCATGTTAAGCTCCTCCTACTGGACCAGGCATGACTCCCAGGATTGGGAAAGAGTTTGGAATAAGGAAGCAAGGAACTGCCCTCAGGCAGTTCACAGTCACCATTGATTTTTTTCCTTAGCATTTAACACAATTTGTAGTTTAACATTGCCTGTCTGCTTATCATCTGGGAGTGTCATGAGAAAAAGGCCCATATTTGTTTTGTCACTGTTGAACTCCCAGCACGTGGTATGGTAGCATACATGGTGAGCATTCAGTAATATGTATTAGACCAATCCATAGATGCGTCTGTTTATTCTTATATTTTATATTCCAGGCAAACACACAATTACACACGCCATTTTTTTTTTCAGTTCAACTGTGAATTTTTCTCACCCAAGTGCAGTCTGAAAACTCTCATGAAGAAATGTCACTGAGAGAGAGTCAGGGCTTTGCTTTCTAATCAGGCAAACATTCTCCTCACTTTCACCTTTAAATAAATGAATTCATTTCAATGCTTTTTAACCCAGGGACTAGACAGCCTGGAACCAGCTGGCAGTCCTGCAGTTCTGCTGAAATGAATGGGCTGCGGCCCACGAGAAGGATGTTATCTGGGTGGATAACAGAGCTGGAAGGGACTGAAGTCAAGAGCTAGCCTTTCATGCCACTGAAACAAAACACTGTCTTTCCCGGGAGGGTTTTGGAAGAACAAAGAATTTCAGATCTTTAAAACCAAAAAGATGCTTTTTGGACATGTCAACTTTGAAAGGATATTTGGCCTTGCTCTGTTGGTTTCTGTGATAGCCCTCTGTGGCTGCCAGAAGCGCAGAGCACTGCACAAGGAGAGAGCCAGCAGGTCTCAGAACACAAACAACTCATGGGCAACAGCTTCCCCAGAACTGGAATGACCTCCCTTGTTTTAGGGCCTATAATGTGTTCATATCACTTCAGTGTAGGGATTCTCAGATGTCAGGGGGAGTATCCAAGTCACCGTGAACTGCACACTCTCTTAGGGTAAATTGAGTCTTCCCGTGGAGGTGCAGGTGGGCTGGGGACAGGCACAGCTATCACTCACCACCCTGACCCATCAGTGTGGAAATCATTGCCCAGGTGAGCTGCTATTGCAGAGTTGGGTAGACATACACATGCTGGCATCTCGGAGTAGGAAGAAGTTGAGGATTAGCTTTGGTGAAATGATCTTAACAGAGAAGATACTTGACTGGTGACTAGACATCTCAGTTAATGGGAGTACTGTCTTCGTCCCTTCTCAATACAAGCTAACTCTGTGTTCTTGGACCAAACACAGCAGCCTTGAATCCAGCCAGTCATTTAGACGTTTGTTCAGCATCAGAAGGAGATACAAGGGAAAGGATCAGGGTAATTCCATTCTCTTCACTAGCACATTTGACCGAGAGAGTAGAGTCACACCTGAATGTAATATAGGTTAACTTCCTTTGTGAAAATTATGTCTGTTCTTATTCTATATACAGAATATAGACACTATACCACAGTAAAGGTAATTTGGTACTAAAAAATAGAATTCCAGAAGACCAAAAGGTCTTGGGAACACTGAAGTTACAATCGTAATGAGAATCTGGGGAAGTGAGAGGAAGGGCTGGCACCCAGGTTCCCTCACCTTCTGCAAAAACGCTTATCCACCCAGTGGTTTCTAGGGGCTGGGCTGAGAGGAAAGAGCTTTGAAACAGAAAGAGTCAGGAGTTTGCTTCTAGGCATGAGGGTAAGATGATGCAAATAAACTTCAAGGACAGATGGAATCCACTACCAAGGTTTTGGGCAGCTTGGGGATTTATTAGTTATCTATGGCCACCTAAAAATTTCATACAGAATGTAGTAGCCTAAAACAACATTTGTCACCTTCCAATTTATGTGGGCAGGAATTGGGAGCGGTTTAGCTGGGTGGTTATGACTTATGAGACTGTAGTCAAGGTACTTGCTGGAGCTGAAGTCTTCTGAAGGCTTACCTTCAAGATGGCACACTCACATGATTGTTGCTGGGAGGCCTCTGTTCTTTGCTAGGTGGGCCTCTCCATAGATCTGTTTGAGTGTTCTCATGACCTGGTAGCTGGCTTTGTAAGAGAGAGAGTTAGAAGTCACACTCCATCATTTCTGCAGTATCCTTATCCTGTTGGTGATGTGTGTCACCCTCACTCAGTATGGCAGGGAACTGCATAGGGTGTGAATGCTGGGAGGTGGGGTCACTGGGAGCCAGCCAGCACAAGAGGTTATGCCCAATGCCAGCCCAGAAGAGTGTGGAAAAAGCTACAATTCATTAAAGGTAAGAACTGCCTAATCAACTGGATGAAGAAATGAGTTGGGACCCGTATTGGACAACCAGGGTCCCAGAATCTTAGGGAACTTTGGGAGAGGAGGGAAGGGAAGAATTTGCAAAGTAGTTACAAGGTGGTTTAAAGCTCAGATGTAGAATGTTTGGGAGACATTAGGAAATTGTCTTTCTCATCTAGAAACCTGGAGACTAAGGTGTGAACTGAGAAGATTAGGGTGGTGAACACATGATATGAATGTCTCTGCCTAGGACATGAGCTGGGGATGTCTACTCTGCAGGGGACCCTGGATGCTTACTGTGGGAGGGTTCTGAGAGCAAGTGAAGATCTCACCAGACTTGGTGGAAGTGCCAACCCAGACAGTCAGGGCTACATGGCTGATGGAGAAAAAGGCAGCATGGCTTTAAAACAAAAATATAACCTTTAATAGCAGCTAGTCCACAGCACCTACCTTGAGGGAGTAAGCGAGAGTAGCAGGAGGAGCGAGATTTCCTTTTGGCTTCACCAGCCAAGTCAATATTTGGCTAGAGCTTAGACCAAGTGAGAATCAAAAAAATGTCCTCATATGTTCCTGTATTATTTTGTCTATCAATCCATCCATCCATCCATCCAATGTTTATTGATCATTTACTTTGTGCTTTGATTCTCTAGAGAAAAAAAACAGAAGTGTTGCATATTCAATTCATAAAATTATATGTTTTCACAAATCATTACCACAATATTCTGTCTCTGGAGCATGTTACCACACTAATCAAGAAGGGAACTAATATTTGTTGAGGGTGAAAGTCACACAGATAACAAATAGCAAAACTGAAACCAAATTCATGTTGGCCAGTCTGTCTATGCACTTGGGGTCACATTGCCTAAAATGTTTTATTTTTTTCTTAATTCTCTCTCTCTCCTGACCCTCATTGGTCTTTGCTTCTTTTGTGAAGACTCCTTGCTCTCAAGCATACCCAAAATAACTCCCCCAAATATCATGACAATATCTCTATACCTTAGAAAAAGTTAGACATAGTACGCTTTTGGAAACATCTATATTGGTCTCACATTGTAATCATAAGAATTCCTGTTAGATTACAGGCAATTAAGCAACATTTTTTTGTGTGTGTACAAAAATTAACATTTATTAATTTTTTTAATTTAAAATTATTTTTTTAATTCTTTTTTTATTAAAGTGTAGTCAATTTACAATGTTAGTTTCAGGTGCACAGCAAAGCAATTCAGTTACACATATACATACATACATACATACATTTTTTCAGATTCTTTTCCATTACAGCTCATTACAAAAAATTGAATACAGTTCCCTGTGCTATACAGTAGGTCCTTGTTGTTTGTCTATTTTATATATAATAATGTGTCTGTTAATCCCAAACTCCTAATCTATCCCTCCCTCATTGTTATTATTCTATATTTTAGATGAATCTAACCAGAGTTAGCATACAGATATTACCATAAAATTTTAATGCTAATCAGTGCACATGAGAATTGAATTCCTTCATTTGTTTTGTACTCTTAATTATTCTTTTCTTATTCTTTTTTTAAAACTAAACATTTAGAAACTGAACTTTGATTAATAGTTATAATTCCCAACATATAGTATGTATTAGTATGTGTATATAATGCATATTCAATACATAACATGAGGATAATGTAATTCTCTCTACAGGGAGAATTCTCCACACGGTTCCAGTTTGCAGAGCAGATCTCTGGGGCTGGGTTCCCACCGTGGGCTGAGACGTCAACTGTCACTTGTCTTTCAAAGAAGTAATTACAAGAGCCTCACGCATAATTCCGAGGATCCGAGAGAACATTTTCCTTCCTGAGACATGTTGTCACAAACAAGGTAGTCTCATACTTTTTAAAAGGGAATTGATGACTATAGTTCCATTATTGGCCAAAGCGGAGCCTGAAAACCCCTGTGGCTGTCACTTCAGTCTGGTAAGCGTGGAACCCACATGGGCTTTATCCAGCAAAACCAGCTCCAAGCAGGTCTGTTCACTGACACAAGCGGCTCAGCGTCCAGGTCCAGGGGGTGTGCTGGACCGAGAAATCTGGCCTGTTTGGTTCAGGGCTCTGTGCTGAGGACATCCCCCGCCCCCTGGCTTCCCAGACTTCTTTTGTTCCCACCTGGACTGTCCCCTCCTTCAGTGAAATTCAACCCAGCACCGGAGAGCATGAGGCAACCAGTCTGTTCACGGGGCGGCTGCGGCGCCCTGTCGGGTTTATCATTGGCCACCTTGTAAACAAAGGAGCCAACGATTGTTTCCAGTTCAAAAGGGGCCAAATGGCCAAGTGTGCAGCCAGGCGACAGGCAGTGGGGGAGATAAGCTCTTACTCACACAGGCGGGGCATTTCTCTTCCCAGCTTCTGATATTTGGCCTTACTTAATAGTTCTAGCTTTTTAATGTCTGTCCTTTTAATTTGACATTGGAGTCTGGGAGTTCAGCCCTTGGACCTCTCCTCTTCCGGGTCTCCACTCCTCCTGGAAGATCTACGGTCCTCTCATCCTTCACCCGCGTGCCTATGAAGCGCCTCCTTGCATCTCTAGCCAGCAGCTCTCTCTGAACTCAGGCGTATGTTCAATTATCTACTCAGTGTTTCCTCTTAGACCTCTCAGCGGCAGCTCAGACTTCATACGTATGAACTGAATTCCTAATCTTTCCCCCAGAAACGGCGACTTGCTGGAACTTTCCTTATTTCAGTTAATGACAACTTTGGTTTGTCAGGCCATGGTCCTTGGAGTTGGACGCCTTCTGAGTCCCCAGCATGCCAGGTGGACTGTGCCTCTGCCTTCGAGGCATGTCCCAAACCCAGCTTCTTCCCACCACCACCTCTGCCACGCTTGCTCAAGTCCCCACCCTCTCTGGCCTGGAACTTCATCTCTAACTGGCCTCCTTCACCCCTTCTGCAGCCTGAGGGATCCTGGGAGCCTGAGTCGGATGGTGCAATTGCCCAACCAAATCCAGGGGCTCCCGGCTCACCCAGAATTGATGCCTTCTCTACAGCAGCCCACGTTCATGTTCCTTTTTAAATTTCTTCTGACACCTCTCACCCCCTTGCTAACTATTCTGCTGGCTGGGATTTTGCTCTTGCTGTCCCCTTTGCCTGGAAGTCTCCTTCCCCAGACACCCACAGCTCTGAGTCCCCTCTGCCCTTTGAAGTCTTTGCTCAAATGTAACTTGTGATTGGCCTTTCCTGACACCCGATCTGAAAGGAAAGGGCAACCCCACGGTGGCCTGAGTAAGTTCCCTTCGAATTAACCTAGACCTAGTGGGCGTGGTTTTACCTTCTGCACTATGGTAGGTGAAGTCTTAACTTACTTACGTGTGAGGCGGGGCTCCTCCTCTCGTTCTGTCCATCTCGTCCCTCTGGTTATTACCCACATCCCTGGACACTCAGAGGCATTCAAAAGGTGAGGGCTGAAGTGAGCCCGATCAAGCGGGTCAGCTTCGCTTCCTTTCCCAGAGCACAGCAGAGTCACTCATTTTGGTCGGTTGTCCTCGAGTCCTTTCTTGTCTATCTTTCTCTGTCGTTTCTTTTATACATATGCTTACTCTCAGGACTACTGTTATAAGGACTAAAGGAAAAGGAAATTAATTATTTCTTATCACAATAAAACCCTTCTTGTTGCTCATTTTCATCTTCTGGGTTATTTCAAATGAACCAATTTGAGGGTTGGGTTATAGCTCAGTGGTAGAGCGTATGCATAGCATGTGTGACGTCCTGGGTTCACTTCTCAGTCCCTCTGTTAAAAAAATAATAATCAAAAAACAAATTTGAAGGCACTCCCTTGTATGTGGCAGGAACTCACTCTGCCCTCTCAAGTCCCAAAGGGCAGAATTCAAAATTTATGGAAACTAGATCCCCTTAGCTACCAGGCTGTCCGTGTTGCTAGGGAGGAATAGTCCAGAAGAACTCAGCCGGTAGTTCTGACATCTGGTTCCCTGCCTGGCTTGAGAGGTACAGAGCTCCAGGGTCAGTCCCAGACCTGTGATCCCAGGGGTTATTGCTACAGAGGTGGGCCTGGTCAAAGTGTGTATCTCTCTTCCCCCTCCATGGGAGCTGGGAGGAGGCACCACCTGAGGGTCTGAGCAAACCAGGGAGGACACTTCCCAGGGTGGTGGGCACAGACGGCGGGCTCAAGGCTGTACCTCCAGCTGGGCGTGCAAAGACCCTTACAATGAAGTTTAGTAAAGGCCGTGGAAGGGGCTCTCCAGACACTGAGAGCACTAGAAAATACTTCATGATGTGACTTAAAATTTTCCATTTTTTACTGATTAGAAAGTCATCTGAATTAATGAAATTTTAAATTATAGAAAAAAATTAAAACCTAAAATATTGGATCATGAACAATTCCTTTGTTAACAAAGGGATTCACTCGGATTGTTATGGATTTGATCTAATGAATAGCTGAACTGATTTTAGAGTAACAATATGCAAGTCTGAGAATGATATTGCAGTACAGCATGATATATATTCTACTTAACTAGTTAAGTGTTCCCTCTATAATCCTCTCGATATCTTAATAAATACAAAAAATAGCTAATAAGAGGAAACTTTTACCTCAGCCTTTTCAAAAACCTTTCAAATTATGTGGATTTTCTCTTTTTTTAATTCTCACGTTTCATTATTTTATGCACATTTATTTGTATTCTCCTCCCCTCTTATAATATTAGCATGAGATGTTGGAAGACTATTTCTTAAAAAAAACTGTTTTCTTTTTGGGATGAGATAATTATGTTTTTATTTATTTGTTAATGGAGGTACTGGGGATTGAACCCAGGACCTCATGTATGATAAGCACACATTTTGCCACTGAGCTACACCCTCCCCACCTTGAAAGCCTATTTCTTTTGTCTTTTCCAAATGATCAGGGCCTCCTCACATAATCTGTGCACCTTATACTGAATCAGTGATCAAGAGAGCTGTACCATCACTCTGTTCTATGACATGCCACTAAAGGTTTGCTTTTTTTAAAGTATGGTTATTAAAATAACCCCGTTGCTTTGTCGTCTTGTGTATGCATGATGGTTACAGGGTACAGTAGAAACCTCTCACTCTCAAAAGTCTCCAGCTGGGCCACCGTGGGTCCCTCTGGGCCATTTTTTAACCTATAACATTGGAGAAATGACATTGCATGCTTAAATTTGTGAGTATTAAATATGACAATGCATACAAGATGCTTGGACATGGTGACCCTCACCAGTGTGGCTACAGTTTGTTGAAACTTTGTGATCAAAAGACGAGGGAATGACGAGGGGGTCTTTTTGGAGCAGAAGGTTGCTCTGGCCAGTCTGCTGACCAGTCTCAGAGGAAGGGTCATCAAATTTCCCATCCACAAGTTTGCCCTCAGGCATCTTCTGACTTTCCATTGCACTTTGCACATCCCATTACCCCCAACACGCCCTGCCGCCATTGCAGTTATTTTTACGTATTTCCTCTGCTAGAATGGTGAACTCCTTGAAGTCCAGATCCTGCTCTAAGTGCATCCGTACAGATGGTCACCATTCTCGCTCGGTCATACTAAGTTCATGAGTTGGAGTCCTCCATCCGATGATGTAGCTAACAACCATATCCCTTCCCCTCCAAAATCAAACTAATGACACAATTCCAGTGCAGAGGCAGTATCTGCCTTCTAATACATTCTAGATGCATGTGACAGAGAATGCGGGCCCCCCGCTACAGTGTTTCTTCTCAGAGATGGACTTGGGCAGGTTGGTAAGGCATTTGGACATGCACACATTCATTCAAAGTGTTATATCACCACTGCAAACCCAGAAATGGATTTAGAGCACTATTCGAATATAAGAAAATTCCTTTCTCTTTCCCATTGTAAGACTGGACATTTCTTTCCCTTCAACTAGGAAGATCTAGAAAAGAGAGATAGTTGCAGTTTCTGGGAGGGAGTAAGACAATTTTATCATTTCAGAATTGCTGTCCAAGGTGATTACAGTTGTTGAGAAATGATTACATGGTGAGTTCTTATCTTTAGGGCTGCAAAATTAGAGAAGGTCAAGGTTTTGCAAGAGCTAAGAGGGGTTTCTAAAAAGTTCTTATCATCTATGGGGATTTGGGCAGCTGGAAAATGTTTGGCTTGGCGAGTTTCTGGGGTGGGTGATTAGGGAGGGAAATTGGAAACATATCAGTTGCTGCAAAAGTCCGGGAAGGAGGCTTTTCTACTGGAAGGGTCAGAACAGCTGGGGGCGAGTTGGGATTTTGCAGCAGCCCTGAAGGAATGGAAATGGTGGCTTTTTTCCTCAAGGGGGACCGGCAGAGTTGTAACAGCTGGGAAGACCCAGAGCAGTGGGTTTTAAGGAGGGAAGTAGACAAAGACTGAGGGGGAAAGGTGCCTGCAGTGCAGCGCAGTCTGCCTCACACGGCACGTTTTCAGCACTGGCAGCGGTTTCTCCCTCCCTGCTCTAGTGAGCTCCCCGTGCCCGTTTACCCGCCATCCTTCCAAGGGCTCTTTCCTCGGCTTGCGCTTTTCTCCAGGAATTTATGTCTATAAATCACCGTTCACCTCTTGTAATAATCCTGCAGGGCCATTCAGTTCGCTAAAAGTATTAAACTTCTAGAACTAACACTTGTGGAAGATAATACCCTTATTAAAAATACATTTTAGAGATGGGCAAAATGTACAGTAGTAAGTACTTCACGAGATGCGTTCCTGGGAGAGTTTTGTATGAATAGGATTTTGGTCAATCAAGTCACCTTTAAATTTAACTATAAGAGTTTGTTATTTAATTCAAAAAGGTGAACTTGTGTAATCAGCCCTGTGCTAGACTTAAGCAAATGGCTCTTTAAGATCAAATAACCAGGGGTCCTATTTAACACAACTTATAGGTTTGAATCTTTTTAACCATTATACTTTTGAAGTATAATGCAGTTCCTAAAAATGAATAAAACAAATATATGTTATAATGAATTGGCATAATGTGAACACCGATGTAACCATCACTCAGATCAAGAAATAGAACATCTGAACATTAGAAGTCCTGTATGGCCCCTCTCCTTCCCAAATGTAACAGTTATCCTCAATTACTCTGACACCTAACACTGTTTAGTTTTGCCCATTTCTAAACTGCATATATGTCAAGTCGGATAGTTTACATTTTGTGTGTGTCTGACTTCTTTCCCTGATCATTCCATTAGTGAGATTCATTATTGTTGTTGTATTTATTTACCTGTAGTTCGTTCATTTTCTTTACTAAATAGTATAGCATAAATTTCAAAATTAATTCATGCATTTTACTGTTTTGAACATTTAGATTATTTCTGGTTTTGACTCTTATAAAACTGCTGTTGCATGATGGGTACGTGCATAGAAATGTATGGGCACACGTGCAGAAATGCATGAGTCCCTGCCCAGAAATGGGTGGTACACATACTGAGCTGCAGGTGGAAGTCATTTCCAAGATGAAGCATTTAATAGTTGGTGGATGACCCTCCACGCTCTCTTTCCTGGGAATCATTGTCCTGGGCCGGATAGTTACAAGATACAAGCAGACTGGATCCCTGAGTCACCACTTGGAAGGGCTGCCCCAGAGAGCCATTAGATCTGCAGTGGATTCTGCATGACCAAAAATTTACTCCGATGTTTCTAGACCCTAAGATTTTGAGTTATTTATTACTGCAACACAGCTTTGCCTAATCTGACCAGTAGAAACAACATAAACATCTTATTTTCAGAATATTTTTTACAATCAAATTTAATTAATTAATTAATTATTTAAAAATTGAAGCGTAGTCAGCTACAAGGTGTCAGTGTCTGGTGTATAGCATAACGTCCTAGTCATAAATATATACACACATATTCAGTTCTGTATTCTTTTCCATTAAAGGTTATTACAAGATACTGAATATAGTTCCTTGCGCTACAGTCAAATTTAATGATCGATTTTCAAATCTGAGAATTTCATCATGTCAATAAGAGCTCTTTTTGAGTAAAAAAAAAAGTCATTCTAGTTACCAACAGGCAAGTGAGAGAAGGATATTTAGGGACTGGGCACCCACATCAGCATGTGGGACCAAGTCAAGGACCCCTTTCCATTATACTAGAAGAGTCCAGGGGTCTGTGATTACTGGCAAGGACCCACTGGTGGACCAGCTGGTGGTCTGGTGACACTTTTATGACTCTCCCATCTTCTCTAGTGAAAAATGCCAAGATTTTCTGGCATCGGGGCTTAGTCAGGAAAACGGCCACTGCAAAGTGCAGGGGTAGGGAAGGAAAGCTTTCCTGAGTGTGGGAGCTGCAGGGGAAGAGGGAAAGAGTCATTAATCCTGTCCAGCTGAACCTTGTGCAGGGAACCAGCTGGAGATTTCGAGAAACCCCATAGCCCTGCAGCTGTGGCCACAAGCTGGGCCGTGAAAGGGGAGTTCAAGATGTGTCATGTGGGAGCTGCAGCCTCTGTGGGTCCAGTGAGCTTGGGGCTGCCGTGAGGACGGTGGGGTGGGCACAGAGCTGAGCCCCTCTGTGTCTGTCTGCCATCATGTTTAGCTGTGTGAGTGTCCTCTACTGCCCAGTCCCCAGGGAGCGCCTCGCATTGGCAACTGTAGCCTGGAACCACACAGGGAAGGGTGGTCTGAAAAGCACCGTCCCAGCCTCAGATGGAAGCAGCAGTGCCCTGTTGATCGTAGGCAACCCAGCTTTCATTTATGAGAAGTAGTTTTCTAACTGATAATCTCTTACAGGACGCTTAAAAACTAGGGCATTGCTGAAGGAAAGATATTTCCTTCAGAGATTAATGTGTCCAAGGTAAACGGTTATGGCTTGAAGAAAGAATGAATACTCAGAGCTGTATGACCTGCTAACATGAAAGATCCAGAAACCACATACTTCTTTTTTTTATTACCAATTTTATTTTAAAAGGTTTTTTTTTTTAATGGAAGTATTTCAGTTGCAATGTGTCAATTTCTGGTGCGCAGCACAATGTCCCAGTCATGCATATACATACATATATTTGTTTTCAATTTTTTTAAGGGTTATTACAAGATATTGAATAGAGTTCCTTGTGCTATGTCATATAATTAGTTGATTTACTGCATAAGCCACACAGTATGGAGGGGTCTCCTGCAGCCGCGGCCTTGGTCAGCACTCTGCTGGTCCAGCCCGTCTCCCTACTTCTGGACTTGCTCCACATGGTGTGCGGTGGGGGCTGCTTTCCTGCACGGCCTGCAGAAGAGTCTTGTAAGAGCGGGCAATTTGTTTTGGTGGCTTTAGATCAGTCTGTGGGGCTGGGGGGGGGTTGATTAAATTGGATCTAGAAAGATGGGCCAAAATGTGTGGAAAGGGACAATATTCGACGTAACAGGGACAGATAAAAAAAGAGATCAAAGCAAAGGCAGGGACTATAGTAGTAAAATCTACTGTATGGCCAGAGGGAAGGCAGACCCACATTTCATAGGGCTTGAAGCTTATCAAATTTGGGGGCCTTCTTTAAGAGAAAGGATGAAAATTTAAGAATAGAAAATTAGGTACAAGAATATTGATTTAAATGAAAAATGCATCACAATAAGCTGTACAATTTGAAAGGCTGAAACACACCATACATTTCAAAAAAAAATTCCACATGAAAACATTTTAATAAACCACCTGACACATCTCGATAATACTATTTTTCCTACATTTTTTGGCTGCACACCCTCCCCCCACCACTTTACTGAGGTATAGTTGACAACTAAAAATTGTACGTATATAAGGTGTACAACTTGATCGTTTGATGTATGTATATGTTGTGAAATATTCACATGTATGTTGAGAACACTTAAGAGCCACACTTAGCAGATTGCAAGCATACAGTGTTGTTAACTGTAGTCACATGGGTGTGCGTTAGATCTCTAGAATGTATTTATCTTGCATCACTGAAACTTTGTGTCCCTTGAACAACACCTCCCCACATTCCGCCTAGCTGCCTGCCTTTGACCCCTTTTTCGATTCTGTAATTTTGTAATATGTTTTCCACAAGAAGAATGGAAATGTACTTCACACGCAGGTGAACTTGCTGGATGCTTGGTACTGCAGGCTTGTGTCCTCACACACTCAGGAATTCACATCAATTCTAGTTTATGGGATTTCCTTCAGAATACATGGTGCATCTATAATTGTGCTGCATTTAGAGTCTATTCCTGACAGAAGAGCACATCCATTTTGACTGGGTGTAGTTCAGAATTAAGCCACTCTAACAAAACTATGTGGTTTTTGTTTTGTTTATTTGTTTGTTTGTTTTTGTTTTTGTTTTTGTTTTGTTTTTAATGGAAAGAATAGCCACAAAGTTGCTTCTGGCTTTAAGAAGCTACATCTCAAACTGTTACTCCTTTGCTACCAGAACCCTTCCAGGGCTGAGAAAGTGGGAATGTTCAGATGGACACCAACATGACTTCAGTAACAGAGGGTGGGAGGCGTGTTATTGGCAGCTGTTCCTACGCCTGGATGGTTAGCAATAGTGTAACTACACACGGAAACCAAGCCACGCAGATCTGTCCCGGCAGAGTCAGGGCCAGGGACAGGCAAACCAGGTGCCAGGGCGCTCATTCTCTGGGCTAGGCAAGTGCAAGGTTGGCCCCTTAAATCTTCCTCCCTGGCACCTTCTTTGCCTCAGCTTAGTCCTGGCTCTGTATTCATTAAACCCAAACTAAATGTCTCTCCAGCTTCTCTTTCCTAGGCTTGATCCTCAGAATGTCCACCGCTACTTCAAAGTCACTCAATATGAGGACAAGTTAAAAGTTGAGACAGTGGACTTGACTGGCGGTGGTTAAAATACATTATTCTGCAAAATTTGCAAAAAAGTAACCATGTGTTCACACTTCTAGGACCTCCCGTGCCTCAGAAAGGTGTTTTGCAAGTGAGGGGCCCTGGATTCAAACATTTAGCCTCTCGATAAACGTTCCTCAGCATTCCAACCACGGCCATATTTCCAAGTCTGAGTTTGTTGCACTGGCTTATTTTTGCTTTCAGGACACTGATTAAGAGCTCAGGCGCTGGAGCTAGACTATCTGAATCCTAGCACTGCCACTTCCTAGCTTGCGGAACCTGAGCATTTTATTTAACATCTCTGTGCCTCAGATTTTCTCATTTTACACCCATAAAATGGGAGGGTATAAGAAATAATAACGGGATTAGTTCATGTCGAGTGCTTCCCACAACGTCTGGCATGTCGTAAAGCCTCAATGCTTATCAGCTGCTGCAATTTTTATTATTAATAGGCTCGCTCTTCATGTTAATAGGGTGTGCTGCTTCTCACACCACGCTGTAAACCCCGAGGGACCTTTGTGTCCTGTGATTAGGCCCAGAAAGTCTTCCCTGTTTTTCTGGATGGGTTGCTGACTACACGCAGGAGGAAGGAGTCAGAGAAAAATGGATTTTCCTCCCCCGGGATAATACTGTCACCGAATTACATTTAAGTAAATGAAGGAATTGGGGCTGTAAAGAAATTTACTGGTTCATGGCAGGCCAAAGAGAAAGTCAAATGAACATTAACAATGGACCTGGCATTCTTTTGCTCCCAAAAGATACGAGAATGCATTATTTTAAAAGAAAAAAAAATCACACGATGGACCGCAATTAGACCTTATAAAAAAAGTTGCCTGTTAATTCAGCCTCCTTCAGACGACGTGTCCCTAAGACCCCTCGTTTCTTCGCCTGGGCGGGGCGCTGCGGCCGGCGAGGCTGGGACCGAGCA